AACACACTGGCTGAAGTCAGTCAGATGAGCTGTATTTCAGGGGCAACCTTATGGATGGTACTTTATTTGGCTTCCCACTGGAAATGAGCCTCTACAATTAAAATTTTGGTGAAATTTATATCTGATTTTATTTTGTTTTTTTTGACAGGGGTCTCATACATCCTCGCCTGGCTTCAGGCTAGCTATGTAATATAAGATGATCTTAAATTACTGGTCCTCCTATATCCTCCTCTAATATTCTGGGATTACTGTATTAAATATCATTTCTTTAAGCCATACACCTAAGCCTAGATTAAGAGGTAGCAGTGAAAATTCTTATGATCCTCCTTATGATCTATGACTTTACAAAAATATGCATTCCTATTTGTAAAATCAGAGTGGAGAGGAGCAGACATAATCTCTGGAGTGACAAACAAGAGGAATGAATGCTAGCATCCATGAAGATGGAAGTATCAAAATATGATGCTCTGACTGATGCCCTAGGTAAGGTTTTCTCCCATTCTGTGCTATGATCTGGAAGCCACAGACGAAAAGGGTGATTTTTATATATACTACAGTCAACACTGTACACTTTTGCCTCCTACTTGAAAGCCAGTACATCAGAGCTCTCCTTTGAGCCATGTAGCAGACCCCAGGTGGCTTTACTCAAGGTAGAAGAATGGGTGGCTATATCGTAGGTCTTACATTAAACTGGGACATAAAAGCCATCTTATGTTTCGGCTTTCATTTCTCCACCTCTGGCATGACTTACAAAATCAAGCCTTATAAGCACACATATCAGCCTCGAACTTTGCCCTTAGAAGGCATTGTTTCTCGAGTCTCTTTTCACCTTGCTGTCAGCCCTCGGTGGAACTGTCATTGTGAGCAGCTGTGTTATTCATGGGTGTGCGTGGTTATCTTCCTGCAGGAGGGGGTCTGTTTCTGTCCTTGACTCACTTTTTCTTTCTTCTTTTCTTCTTTCTGTCTTCCTCCATGTTGGTACCAGCCAGACCTTTTCTGTTTACATCTATTCTTTTATTTCAGAGAGCTATTCAGAGAAGATGCAGCACACAGAACACGCACACCCAGCAAGCTCAGCACTGCTCAATGGGATGTGCGCCCTGAAAAAACTTGCTCCAGACGCTGCTGCTGCTGCTGGCCTTCGCTTCAGCTAACAACAAAAGGCGAGCCTACTCCCTTTTGAATTTTTTGTCAGAGGTGGTTTTCAGGCAATGAACAAAACAATTGATTCTCTGTGTGTCTTTTCAGATGTAAAAATGATCAGAAAAATGATGGCAGACTGCAGAAAAGTAGGGGTTTGACACTGACATAATTCTTCACAGAAATTCTATGTAGACGAACACCAGACATGGGTTACACATATATCATAGTGGCACATTCTCAAGAAGGAAGTGATTAAGCTAGAATATTCTATTAGCAAAAAAATTAGTAGTATAAGCACACACACACACACACACACACACACACAGCAATATTTCTGCTTAGCAGGAGGTAGAATGGCTGCACTACAGGCTTTCTGCATTTTCTCCTTCCTCACAGTTTACACCTTCTTGGGCTGGGGGTGTGTGGTGGTGGTCAGGGATGCACACTGGAATAATAGCATCCCTGATAGAATCCCTATATTCATCCAGTGTCTTGACATTGATGTTCCTTGCTTTCATACCTAAGAACTCTGAATTTCTAGAAGGTTAAGCAGTTTTCCAACCTAGTTTAGTCTGCAAATTTTAGAGCCAGGATTCCAGTAGACATGTTTGGGCCCTTTTATTCTTTGATCATGAGAATAGGACATTCCTGAATAGCAGTTATTGACTGCAAACATCACAGGAAATGCCACAGCTCTTAGTGTATTTTCCATAACATCTATCCAAAGCTGAAGTTTGAACTGCTCTCATACTCCACTTATTCCTTTCTCCTTTTTAAATTGCATTCACCCAAATGTTGAATCAGAGACCAACTCGCTGTGTGTATTTTATAAAGTAGATTAAATGAAAAATTGTATAGAATATACAGGGACATATAAACATACTTTATTACGAGTTACCTGACCCCAGAAGCTCACACCCACTCTATGGTGTATGCTACTCTCCTCTTTCATCTCTCTTTCCTCTCCTGACACCCTACTAAATATGTTTCTTAATAAACGCCGGCTTCACTTCATAAAAATTACATTATCATGATGAAGAAAGCAATAGTTTTGTGGAATAAAGGTAACTATAGCAACCTAGGATTCAAATCAGGTTCCCTCTCAGGCAGTGGCAAGCACTCCTGGGTGCTTCCGGAGCTTTACACTAATATATGTCTCAAACACATACATTTTGGGGCTCATTAGTTAAATTTCTCAGTGTTTGCAGTTTAATGCTACCTTTCAGTGTCACTAACTAAAGCGATCCGATTATATAACTGTCATTGGGTTTGTGTCTAGGAAGTCTTTTCCTGTGGACCTGTGAATGCTGCCCCACACTGGGATGCTTCTTGTTCAAATCCAGGACCCAGGAGGCATTGCAGCAGCCGGGACAGAAGCAGCTTCAGTCAAAGAGGTCATGACATTTGCTGTCAAACAAGAGTCATCAGCTTCCCTGAAGCAGCTCTCTAGCCTCACATGCACTGAAGAGGGAACAACAAGAAAAGTAAACTACAACTGATGACATTTTCCTACCACTCAAGCAAGCATGGGCTCCATAAACAAGTGAAAAGACCCTAAGACTAAGATCAGTTTTATTTTATTGTGGACAGCAGTAGGATTTCAATGAAGTTTCATTGTATCCATTGTCTCCTACAAGAGTTTTAGGATATCTGACGGTGAAAGACCAGAAAAAAGAGAAATGTCCCAAAACAATTAACAGTTTATATGGGATCAGACTCTTTGTAAGTGAAAATTTTTAAGACAGAACAAGGCAATGATGGGAAAGGAGTGACAGCATGGCTTAGAATCTATTTCAACTTAACAGAATATGGATTACTAAGAGCTTTGGAACCATATATGGTTAAAAGTTAATCTTTAATTTTGAAGGTGACTGACATATCACGAAGGGCAGAAAAACACAGAGATGTATCCATGAAGGCTGGAATTAGGACTGATGATTGCAAATTAAAAATGTAGAAATTTGTGTCGTAAGATGTGAACAAAATATTGATAGTGACAACAAACTGGATGGAAGGGAAGAAATAAAAATATGCTAAGTTAGATGTTAAGAATTCATTAATGGAAGAGATATTGGGACAAACAATGAATTTCTTCATGCAGTGACTATTTATTATTTGATTTGTATCAGGAATATTACTAGCTACTGATAGGAACTACAAGAGTTTGTCCAAAAACTGGTTTGACGAAATCCTAGATTTAATTTTAGATATGGAAAGTTGACAGTATTACTAGAACATTTCAGATGCTAACTGTCTGTAGAGATCTGTAGCTTTGCAGAAGAGTTAGGTGGGAATTACCCATAGATAGAGAGGTCACAGTGGAAGCTGTGGGAGTGGGGAAGAGGTAGGATCACGCACACCTTTAATTCCAGCACTTGGGAGGCAGAGGCAGGTGGATCTCTGTGAGTTCGAGGACAGCCTGGTCTCCAGAGCGAGTGCCAGGATAGGCTCCAAAGCTACACAGAGAAACCCTGACTGGAAAAACAAAAACAAAAAACAAAAACAAAAACAAAAAAACCAACAAAAAGAAAAAAGAGAGAGAGTGAGAGAGACAGCCTTGGGAACTAAGGTGAGAAAAATGTTGCACCACACTTAGGAATCTGGTGGACCAGGAAGTATTAGCGAAAGGATGGTTAAAATAAACAAATGAAGGCATGAATAAATGAATGCCTGAAAACATGCATGGTTGGTGGAAAAAAAGGAAGATGAGGTCAAAGAAGAAGAAGCAAATAAGGGTGATGGTAAGAGAGGTTTGATGAAATTCTAGATTTAGCTTTCCATATAGAAGATTGAAGATGTTAGTGGAACATTCCAAATGTCAACTGTTAGTAACAAAGAACCTCCATAGTTGATATGAAAACAATACTCGAGTCAATACAAGTCAATTTTGGAAGATATTGACATAACAGTTTTAAGTGTTCTGCATTTATTAATGTGCTTCATTTCCAACTATAATTTATGATTTTGCTTTTCTTAAGGGGAGGTACTCTGGAAAACATGATGAAATTCATCCAAGTCCCTCGGTTATTAGTTATTTATTTGAACAAGGATGCTCTGACTTCTGAGTTCCTTGACTATTATGTCACACTGTAAACAGTCTGAAATGTCCCAGGATTTGGGGAAGAAAGAAAAGAAAACTGCATAGACAAGAGATAGAAAACAGTTAAACTAAGTCAGAGAGGTTGGACCATGTAGAACTCAGTTATAGGGGGAGCCTTAACTAAGGTAACCTGTCGACAATTTCAAGAGGACAGTGTCAAAGGCATGTTTTTAAGATCAGAGGTAGGGAATAATGGAGGGCTGTTAGGTGATTCTCTTTTTCTGTATTAGTAAGACAAGAGGCCAGTTCAGTGGCTCAGAATCCTAATGCAAGTTACTTGTTCCAGTTAGGGAAGGTGCTGGGCGGCATCACAGCGTGAGTCTGTTTACAGTCTTGCTTTCACAGTGAAAGCTTATTCCATCAAGGCTAAGAAAAGATCTTTAGGCTGGCATCATCCTGCAGTAAGTCCTCCCCAGGTATGCACAGGCACTACAACAGGAGTCATCTGGACACTTAAGCGATGCAGAATCGGTGGCACCTGAGAAGAAAAGGCAACCTACACTCTCATGGATATGTTCTCTGTCTCTCTCTCTCAAGTGGTTTTGCCAGCAAAAAGAAACATAAAGTGCAGCTCACCTAAATCAACAGCATATTGATGTACATTTTTCCTTTGTGTGAATCTTTTTTCCCTACTAAGAAGTACCTGCTATTTACAATCTGTTACCAGGTGATAATGGCAGAGCACGCCCTCCCTCCCCCGCCCCCATCTTCCAGGTAACCCTATACATTTCCCTGAGTATTTGCAAGTCAAAAATACCTGTTGCCATGCACGTGAGAGGCACAGAATGCAAAGCTGTAATGGAGCAGGGTGGGGTCAATGACAGCACCGTTTTCTGAATGTTCCATCAGTTCTGTAAGGTAGCAGAGATGCCTGTGACAGCCTCTCACACCATAGCGGGCACAGTATTCATCTAACACAAAGACTTGGCCAGGGCTAAACCACCCCTGCAAGAGAAAAGAAAAAGACACATTTTTTTCTTCTAGGATTTGCTTTTCTCTATGCACTTTTAGGCCCTGTAAGCAACAGCAGCAGCAGCAGCAGAAGCAGAAGCAGCAGGTCTCTTAACATTTGATTTGTTAGTCACAGTTCTAAATGTTGTTGTCAGATGGAGTGTCATCAGTTTCGGAAGTGACTGGAGGCACTGGCAATCTACTATCTCCATTACATGTATGGCACCTTGCCCTTGTCTATTGCTATTCAAAACTAGTCAAATTCTATTCACAGGATTTATTTACATTTGTCAGTCTCAGCCAGTGATACTCCCTACATTCTGATGTCTTTATGTGTCAGTTAAAAGGGGTACAGCAAAGTAGACACTACCACGGAAACTGACCATTCACTGAAAGCATTTTATAACATAAACTAGAAGAAATTTTCAGTAATCCCACTGGTGGCACACATTTGCGTGCTTATGCCTGGAATATTTTTCTCAGTCTGTCCTTCTGTGAGCCTAAGAGTTAAGATTTTCCAGTAGTGGTTCCTTGTCCTTCTGAAGTAAGATGCTAGCTGTAAGAGTGGGGCAGAAAGCAAGCAGCCAGTTTGTTAATGCTGTAGGTAGGGTTAGATAGAGCAGATTCTGAGAATGCCATAACAAACTCCTTTACATGGATTAGATTAAAATGTGAAAGAAAAGATAGGGCTGTTAAAGGAAACAATAACTGTTAAGAAGGGAGGACAGGGATATTACAGGACAATGTACTAACAAAGGTAAGGGAAGGGTTGTCATCCCAACCCTACGTGGAGACAGTGGGAGCACTCAATGTAACAGCCACACTGCAGACACTGGTCTGTATTTAGAACTGTCACACAAGGTACATACTATGACTTAGCTTGTTTCAGAAATATGACTAGAATTGTCCAAAACCACAGAGAAAATCGTTTAGTAGTCTTGACAAGCAGGCCCATTCTATTTCCAAGTACTTTTCCTGATCACATCATATTCCCCTCTCATTGTATACAAGACATGTGCTAAGCATTTTTCTCAGATTTTTCTTATTTTTTCCTCCCTCCCACCCTCTCTCCCTTTCTTCATTCTTTTAAAGACCAAGTCTTAGTATTTAGCCATGGCTGGCCTGAAACTCTCTGTGTAGACAAAGATGGCCTTGAGCTCATTGAAATCTGACAAATCTGCTGTCTCTGCTTTTCAAGTGCTGGAATTTAAGATGTTTGCCATCAAACCCAGCTCTTTTCTCAGATTCATAAACAAACTGATAAATTATCACTGTAAGCATGGAAGTTGGCTGATTTCTTCCTGTCTTGTGGATATCTCCGAAGACTTGAGAACACACTAATTGAGATCTGATTTCAAAGAGAATGTAACTTATTCTACGAAGTTATTAGGCTTGGTATCCATGAAAGTCAAGTAGTGATAGGAAATGCCATTTCCAATAATAAATAGTTGTTAGGTGACAATTTTAATCCCTAGATCTGTGTTATCAGGGAATACATTAATTACAACATCAAAATTTTGCTATTCAACACATACAAGGTAGCAGTTAGCTATTTAAATAAATAGCCTCTCTGTCTCTACCCCTCTGTTCTTTTGCTTCTCCCAATTCAAATTATCTTTGGAGGGCCATATGAAATTAAAGTCATCATGTTTTGTATATTCCATCATATTGATAATTTTTCTGTTTCTTCCCCTGTCACTTAGGTTGTCCTAGGAATCAAAGAGACAGGCTCAAGACAGCAGTATCTGATGAATAGAACATAAACATTAAAATGCCCATGGAGGTACTGGTGACTCCTATGACAGAGGTTTTCCATCTTTATTTAAAGCATTCTCCTTCTGCTCAGCATTGTCTGGGGGAACTGATAAAACAGTTCAGTATCTATGCCGGTCTATTCTCCCGTCTATTGAGTGGCACAGCAGTGGTCTTCAAGTGTATAATTTTCAAATTGAGAAGCAATCGATTGGAATTCTTTATCCTAACCCCAACCACAGTGATTAAATGAGACAGGAATAAAATGTTGTTTACCAGCAACTATTTCTCACTTCCAAAAATCTTTTATTCTAACCTATGGGTGACAGACAGACAGATTTGTACCCACCAAACAGGAATAGGAATCATTCAGTCTATGATCCAAAGTCTGTCTCTGGAGAATTCTGAAGAGGAAGGCATGGTCAAGCTTGCAAGGACTAGCAGAAATAAACTCATCCATCCCATGTTTCTGAAAACGGTCTGCATCTGTAAATTCAAAAGATCATTTACAGTGCATTTAAGTTTTTGATTTAATAGTCAACAATATAGCTTACAAGGAATACAAAATTCAGGCCTCATGAAAATAGAGGATCACCCTTTAATTAACTGTTTATGACACAAATAATACATTGTATTAACATGAATTGCAAAGTCTGAAGCCCCAAAAATGAGGAAAATCCAAAAACCAGTTAGAATGAACACATTCAAAGAAAAACTTTTACCTGCAAGTATTTATTATGTGTGAGTATATACATGCCATCATGCATATTCTGATATCAGAGAACAACTTGCAGGAGTTGGTTCTGCTACCATGTGGGTTTTAAGAGTCAAACTCAGGCATCAGGCTTGGTTGCAAATGGCTTCAATCTGTGGAGCCGTTACAGGGCTCAAAGTCCAATTTTTATTCAAAGTTACTTCTAATATCTATTCAAAGAACAATGCTATTTCCCCATTTTAAGGGAGTTGGGCTGGACATGGTGGTGCACACCTTTAACCACAGTACTTGGGAGGTAGAAGCTGGTGGGCCAGGAAGTTCTACATAGAGGGCCCCAGGTCAGTCCTAGCTACACAGTAAGACTCTTTCTAAAAGGGGGGGGGACAGGGAGAGAAAAGTTGATGTATTTTAGGAATATCTTTGCAAAAAGAAGTAACCAGAAAACAATCCATGTCTATTCATAAAGGAAGAAGCATTGGCGGCCAGAAGCCGGCTTTCCAAATGGCAAACTAGGGCAGAGATAAGCACACAGCTTTGGCTGGATCACTTCCAGTCTGCTGTTTGTATGGAGCTTTTAATGGGACCAACTTCAATGCAGAAATGGCATTGAATGCTCTCAAGCTTCAAGTTTAAGAGACATGAAAAAGGGAGCATCGTGTCTGTGCAGATATGCAGACAATGCACCACGTCCCAAATGGCACTTCAATCAAAGGTTCAAATCTATTGTTCTTTACAGATTGCATCTTTCAACGCCTGCGAACCCTGCGGGTTTATCAAAAGGCAAACTTTTATGATTGCTTTCATTAATGGTATGTTTTGTCAAAGTCTTCAATGCGATTTACTAAATATAGACAGAAAAAGCCCCACACTTCCCAAAAGGAGTGCTGGGGTGCTACTACATTAGCTCTGAGCAAGCAGTGACTGGAGTGGACTCTTCCACAACTGTAAACATGATGCCCATTGTTCCTTAAAATTCATACATAAATGCCTTTCTGGTCATCACAAGAAAAGAGTCCTAAATGCAAGCTAAGTGTAGTTTCTAAAACCTATCGGAACAATCCTAAAATAGCAAAGGAAAAGAGACAAAAGTTTATTGATTAAACCCAATTATAGAGTCAGGCTCATAATAAAACTCAATATTGATCTGTGGACATGATGCTAACATAATCAGTCACATTTAGATATTTAGTCCAGATCATATTGATCCATGTCAAGTTCAACTTTCAGCCATATTTGTGGATGGAAGAACTGTATAATTCAAGCTGAAGGGTCTTGAGAATCACATTAAAAATAAAAGACACAAAGATGAATGTACACCTCACGTCCACATAACGTGAGAAACTGAACACAGCGACAAAGCAATAGAAGACAAAGCATTGATGATGTAAGGTTTGCAATGGTTCTTTCTGAACAAAATGCCCATTTGCGCATTAATGGGCATTAATGACTGCCCAAATGATGAAATATGCCATATGATAAGTAGTATTAAATGGATGAACACTAAACTTCTTTCTTGGGTTGAGAAATAAGGCAGTTCAGTTTCTCTTATATCCAGTTTAAAGTCTCATAAAAGTTGAGTATATAACCATATGAAACAGCATCAACTGAGTAGGAGGCAGAGCAGCAAGGAAGGCAAAACACACACATTTTTCAGCTGAAGGGATTATCTATTTTAGTATCTTCATTTCTCTAAGTAAAAATTTGCTTAGTGTCACCTTTATGAGATGATTATTTTTGTAAAATAACTGCTGATTTTTATTCATTATTTCTTTCAGCAGAGGTCGTATGAAGCAGTTAAAAATAACGACCATTAATGGTTTATCTGTGGAGAACAGGAAATGTAATAAATTTCACAGGAAAAAACTCTCATAATTCTTATTTTATTATAAAGGTTTAAAGAATCATTTTTAAAAAGCAATAGGAAAATAGTCTTAAAGTATATATTTCTGAAAACAAGTCTATAGTTAATTTTTGCAATTAAATAATTCTTTTGAACCGATGAAACAATATTTTATGAGATGCAGCTTAAAATAATTTTTATCAGTGTGACAGAGCACACATGAATGAAAAATTATTTTTCGACAATTAGATTAATAACATTATATTCACAAATACTAAGTCACAAAAGAATATTCTCCTTCAACTTAGAAAATACAGGCAAACAAGCTCACTCAAGTTTTAAGATAAAAAACCAAAACAAGAGCTAGGGAGCAGTGGGGCACACCTTTATTCCCAGCACTCCAGAGGCAGAGGCAGAGGCAAGTGGATCTCTGAGTTCTAGGCCAGCCTGGTCTACAGAGTGAGTTTCAGTACAACCAGGGCTACACAGAGAAACTTGGTCTCAAAGAAAAGGAAGCACAATCAAAACCAAGGGCTGGTGAGACGGTTTGCCTCAGTGAGTGAAGGCACTTTCTGCCAAGCTTGTTGACTTCAGTCAGATACCCAGAATCTGCATCACAGGAGAGAACTGACTGCTCCAAGTTGTTCTCTGAAAGCCAAACATTTGCTGTGGTACATGCTTGCTACCTAACAAATAAAAACTAAGCAATATGATAATAAGAATAAGACCCTAACAACAACCTGCAGTCCCTCAGGGCTACAGCTCTAGGAGACACCTTCTGTAAAGACCCAGCCAGCATCTCTGCCCCTACTGTGTCAGACAAGCAAGTGCAAAACGCTGTATGAAAAGACATGTCACGGCTGGAGGGATGGCTCAGAGGTTCAGAGCACTGGCTGCTTTTCAAAGAGGTCATGAGTTCAATTCCCAGCAACCACATGGTGGCTCACAACCATCTGTAATGAGACCTGGTGCCCTCTTCCATTGTACAGGCATACATGCGGACAGAACACTGTATACATAATAAATAAATAAAGTTTAAAAAAAGAAAAGAAAAGACATGTCACCATTAGCTTCTACGGATTCGAGAAAAATAAAAAATAAACTAAGGAAATTTGGACCTCCCTGTGTGACAGATATTTTTATTTTTACCTTTTTTTTCCTAGTCAAATTTTATTTTTTTAAACTGAAGTTGGCTTAATCATCTGGCCTTTATTTTAAAAGAAGAATGGCTGTGGATATGAGTGCTTATATCACACTACAAAGTACAAGAGATGGTAGCAGCATAAAAGCTTGGGGCTAAGATGGAGATGAGCTTGGGGCTAAGATGGAGATGCACGCTACCGAACACTCAGTATTTTTAACAGAAATTTCATACATGTAACAATGTAACACCACAGAATATACATAGTAAAGTGAAGCAGATTGACAGGTCACCTGATGCAGTTAACATCTGTGATAAGAGCAGCTACAGTCTCCTTACTTAACAGAACCATTTACTGCAATGACATCTTAATAACAATTTTCATGAAACCCACACGCTACAAATCTATTACTTTGTATCTTTTGTGTATCTCTGCATTTCTTCCTTCACGTTTTTTTGCCTCATAAACTAAAACAAAAATTAGCTATAGTATTGTCTAATTTCTCATTTTTAGAAGAACATATTTTCATGTAGCTTTCCTTTGGCATAACTCATTGACATTTTACTCTTAAAAGACACAGTTGAGGCACTGGAATCAGTTAGAAAACGTGTTGCCAACCACCTGGTGTAGCCAAAGTCTGTTGTTTAAAACTGGATTTTATCAGGTTAACTTCAATTAGTATTTACTGTAAGAAAAACATTACCCTTTTTTTTTTTTTAAATGTTCACTGCTATGATTCCAGCAAATTTCAGTTTAGTTTGTCTTCTGAAACAGTGTAAGAAAATTATCAAAATAAGCCAGCAAGAAATGATCTTAAATGATTCACTGTGATAGTGTCATAAATTGTGATGATTAACCTATGGACTAACTACAGATGTGGGACACAGGAATTGCGGGTGCTGAAGGAGTTTCTATGGTAACAGTTGGATATCTTTGCTGTAATATCTTTAGGTGGTATTGTCACCAAGAGTGCTAACAGTGGATGGAATAAAATCCAAATTGAGCAATGTTGTTGTTTGCTAGAAATTCAAGAAGTTATAGAGGTTTTATTCAAGTGGAACCTAAAAATTCGAATGTTTCATTAGGATAATAGCTGTGTGGACTTAAGGGAAAAGACGGGAGGTCAATGGTTTCAATTTATACAGTTAATACTGACTTGAAAGTCACTAATGTGGCCAACACAGAAAGACCCAGATGACCTCTCTGCTGTGAGGGAGGATATTACATTTTGGGTGGGCACTGATCCCAACTGGCTTTGTGTGCCTAAGGACCCACACCTCCAGAAGGGTATCAAAGTCAGAGTTCAGAATGTGCAATGGAGAAATTACTTTCTGTTTGCACTGCATAGCAATGACCATGCTGTTTCTGCTGTTTTTAGTGTGGTGAGGGATTGTGTACATACAAGGGGAAGGACATGAAGACAGAAGGGGGCAACTGAACTGGAAAACTTTAGGCAGCACCTGGAACTTACTGGGTTATCTGGAACTAGGACTCAGTAGCAAATGACTAAGAGGAGGGGGAGTCACTAGCTGAGACCATTTCTCCTCTGTAAAACATGGAGCCCCCAAAGATTCGATGAAACTTTTGAAATATAACTCACTTTCCTAAGTTTGAAACTACCATGTGCCTAAGGGGTTTGCCTATAGCTCCACTGACCTTGGAGTCCATACTCTTAAACAGCTTAAAAGTTTACAGGAAGTTACAAGTGGCTTGCAATAGTTGGCACTGCCATGTTTTTGAGTCACATATGTAACAACAGATGTATGTAACAATAATATAAATATATAATAGTGTGTTTTAAATTTCTATGTAGTTAAGTCTGGTTAGTATGTTCATATATAATGGTTTTGCTTAAGACTAGAGTAACAGTTAATGCAAACATCATTTAGTAGTTAATTCATATCTCAATTATTGATCAAATAATTTATTAGCTTTTTGTTATGTTAGTTAAAATTGACGTGGTATGGGCCTTGTATTTTGTAGCAAATAATATAAAAATTATTTTTCACACAATAAACGTTTTAATTAACAATGGTGGAAACTGAGAATTATAAATTAGAAAAGTAAACACAAATTGAACATTTACCAGAAACAGTATGTTCAGGGCAAAGCAAACTAATGCTTTAACAAGTGTGAAATTTAACACGAAAACGAGGAAAGAAAGGTGTTGTTAACATAACAACATACTGGGCTGGAGAGATGGCTCAGAGGTTAAGAGCCCCGGCTGCTCTTCCAGAGGTCCCGAGTTCAATTCCCAGAAACCACATGGTGGCTCACAACCATTCGTTATGAGATATACATGGAAGCAGAATGTATGTATACATAATAAATAAAATCTTAAAAAAAGTAACAACATACTAGCAACATGGAAAGCAAGTTCATAAAATTAAATATAAGCTCGGCTCCTTACAACCGTATTTGGCAATAATAAAAGTTTTTCTGGACCATGTTTACAAAAAGTCGTCTTATTTGTAATTATATAATATGTGTGCAAATGTGCTTATGCAATTGTGCTACTATGAGTCCAGAAGAGGGGGACCAGACTCCCTAGAGCTGGGGTTACAGGTGGTTGTGAGCTTCCTGACATGGTTGCGAGGAAGCAAATTCAGGTCTTCTGCTACAAGAGTGATTACTGCCATCTCGCTAGCCCCCAGGTTCACATTTGACATTTATTATTGGAGGTTGACTACATTGTCAGGCAGCACTAAGATCAAAAATATATTGTGTTACATATGTAATTAAGCGAAAATGAAAAGCAAAAGTGGTTTTGGATTGAGAGAACAAACATAGGGTAGTTTTTAGCAACCCTGTTCACCTGTCCCAGGCAGAGCATTGCATTTGAAATGGGAATTTATTAGAAGCACATGTCTCTCATTCTTCTTACTCTGTCTTAAGGATCTCTACTCATGCTCACACTTAAAGAAAAAGATTTACCTATTGGAGAGATCTATAAACAGGTATTGTCGATATCCTAAAAAGGTGATCTACTAAGTTAAATTTTTTAATCATTAGTTTGACTATCCTTAAACATTCATTATGCTTAGTTTATTTTTTTCCAAAAAAGATTTTTGGAAAAGAAGTAAAAAAAATATACATAGGTTAAATAAACTGAGAACATTAAAAGAAAGAAAATTACTGGTCCCTCCATTCAGCTCATCAATTATGATGGTTTTAGGTATTTTCATATTACAAGTAGGTTCCTAACATAGTGGAAATGATACCACACAGTTAAACTAGAATGCTTTCACTTCTATACATTCTGGCCAATTTTGGATGTTATTACAAGATTATTGTTATGTTTACATGAATAATAGATATTAGACTGCTTCCACTTTTGTTGTGGTTAAAAAATTTTAAAAAAGTAAATGTGAGACCTAATGAAAATTTTCTTGAGTTTGGCTAGAAAGCTGGAGGCTGATATTGTAAAAGAGATCACAGTCTTCCAAGTTCTTACCAATTCAAGTTTGCATCAATATTTAAACAGAAAGAAAGAAAAGAAATGAAAGAAAAGAAACATACCTTTGGCTGGGTGGTGGTGGCCTTTAATCCCAGCACTCAGAAGGCAGAGGCAGGCGGATCTCTGTGAGTTTGAGACCAGCCTGGTCTACAAGAGCTAGTTCCAGGACAGCCTCCAAAGCCACAGAGAAACCCTGTCTTGAAATCACCCCCCTCCAAAAAAAATAAAGAAAAAAGAAAAAAGAAACTTACCTTTACCAACTATAGGTCAGCAAAGAAACAAGAAGAGAAACGAGAGAAGATATTATCTACAGTTATATAATGGGTCATTTCAACTTTGCTATTTACTTTTATTGATGACTATTAAAGTGTTCCAAGAGATGATCAGGAAAAAATTGAAAGGAACAAGATGGAATCATGGAGGCTAGAATATTCATTCTGATAAGGTGGAAATGTACCCATCTTCTTCCTCCTTCCCTCAAAAATTGTATTAAATTATTTATTGAAAACAGATTAACAACAAGAGACCTTTCTCTTATTAAGAATACAACTAGCAGCTTGCCAACAGAATAAAGCATCATCAACAGTGACAGCAGTCTGTTTTTAAGTCAGAACAAGTACACTCAGTTCCACCCAGCCTGAATGGCACTGCCTTAACCATAAAAGTGACACTAGACAGGAAAACAATATTTTCAGCAAATATCCTAGGGCAGCCTTTTCAACTCACCAAGTGTCCACATGATTCCATGAACACTGATGTCCACTATCAACCCATATACCAATTAAGTCAAAATAGATGCAAAATTTAAGAGGCAAGTTATATAGTTTCTAGATACAGGATAAACATTTAAACTATTGTTTTAGGTGAAGATTTCTTATTCATGACATTAATGATGCTGTAATGACTGATCTCAATTGTCAATTTGAGTTCTATAATCACCTGGGAGATGGGCCTCTGGGCATTGCAGGAATATCTCAATAGTTAACTGAGGTGAGAGGACCTGCCCACTGTAGGTGGTACTATTCCCTAGGGTGCTATCCTGGATGGTAGAAAGTAAGCTGAGCTTAAGCACTCATTGCTCTCTTCCTGACTCTGTATGGCATGTGGCTGGCTGCTTCAAGCTCTTTCTCTCTTAGCTTTCCCAACATGATTGAGTGTATTTTGAACTGTGTGCCAAAAGACTAATTCTTCCTGAAGTTACATTTGTCTGGGCGCACTAAGACAAGAATATCTATTTAAAGAAATGCTCTAATTCCAGCATTCTAGATGCTAATGCAGGAAGATTAAAGACTATGAGTTTTATTATGAAACACTGTCTTAAAAAAAAGCCAAATGACAGCAAGAAAGAGACTTCATCAAAAATTGAGATATATTTATTTTGAAAAGAACTGTTAGGATTTATGGTAAAACAAGCCACAGATGAGAAATATTTGTCAAGAAACAAGTTTGATAAATATCTTTCATCTAGAATATATAAAGATCTCTCAAAACTCAATAATAAGAAAGTAATTCAAGCTAAATGTTTTGGAGGTTAACTAACAAAGAAAATAAATGAACAGTAAATGACCACAAAAGAATAGCATCTCCAGAAGCCATAGGTTATTAATAAAAGCTGGGGGTGGGTTAACTACAAGTTTTTGGCTAGAGAGTCTTCTGAGGCCCCCAAAATAATGCAGACATTTACTATGTCTGAAGGTTGCTTACTAGAAGTAGATTGGCAGACTCTATTACTGAAGGCATCACATGCTTTGGTTACAACACATATAGAAATCTAGCTGCAATTGAGATGGAAGCTTTCTTCCTACTAGCAAGCTCCCATAATGCCCAAAGACACCATGCAGGCTACTTGGGGATGGGCTGCAAGGAGTATTTTCAATAAGAGTCTTACTCGGTTGTGGACCTTGGGGGCTCTACTACTGACAAGCCTGACACAAAAATTCCCTTTGCTGCAATAGTGGCAAGCCAGTAATGGGAGTAACCAACTGCTTTTTGATTGCATTGGAGGCCCACAGCACAGGAGAGAGTTTGCCTCTGATACTGCAAGCCTTGTCAAAACCCACGGCTTAGGACATCATAGGCCAGAGTGAAGAAGCTGTTAAAATGGACACGGAATACTTCTCAATAACTATGACCATGTGCATGGATTAGTGCTGCCATTAGCTTTGGTCAAAGAAGCTCCCTTTTCCAGTGGACAACAGTATAACTGCAGAGATTCATAAGTGACAAAATGCAGAACATAAGGGACAGCTAAATATTATTGCCTTAAGTAGAACAATTAGTTTACTCCCTCTAAAGATCAGAGAATGCCATGGAAGAGCAGTTGAAAGCATCTGAGAGGGAAAGAGGAGAGAATAAGGAGGAGAGTGAGACGAACACTGTTCGGAGGCACACAAGGACCCAGTCTTCCTTGAGTACAGACAGTAGTTACAGAAACAGGGAGATATATTCTCTTCAGTTTGTAATCATCAGTAAGGAGATCATAATTGTAAAGAAGCCCTTGCCCAGGAACCTGTAACCCCCCCCAAAGTCCCTTAATGCAACACAAACAAAAATAAACAGGAAAATTCAAAACTTAAAAACCCTGAATATACAAAGGATGCTCGTTGGGGATAGGAAAGGCATCAGTCAAAGTGGGAGGGAAGCAAGAGGAGATAATGAGAGGTGGAAAAATACAAATACATCATGTACTTGCATGAATATGTTCTAATAAGGCTCACTACTATGCATAATTAATATATATTACTTTAAAAGAAAAGGTTATGCAAGTTCAGAAGTTAAAAAAATGTCCATATATGGGCAACAATTCACTAGGAAAAAAATTGATACAATAGCAACTGAAGGGTGACATGTTCAGAAATTAGCCTACCTAAGAATAAAGGAGTGGCCCACAGATCAGAGGTTAGTATTAAAAAGGGCATAGGAGCTTAGAGTAAATGAAGATTAATTTTATAGGTGTAGCTGAAACGGGTAAGAATTTGGATACATTTTAGGTCTTTTTCTCTACGAGGGTGAACAGGAAAAATAGAAAGTGGACACAACAGTAGGTACAAAGAGTCGGGGGCACTTTGTTATCACAAAGTAAGAATGAGCAACCAGAATTAGATGAGGCTCACACATGAAAACAGGAAGGAGAATTTCAAACACAGAGCTGAGCAAGGAAACTAATAACTACAATATGGCTTGTGACGCAATGACTGCTCACATATCCAACATAGGTTTGCAGGAAGACAAAGGAGTTTCACGATAAATACTGTGGAACTCTATCCCTTGAGATAAAGCACAGAGTCTGCTCTATGAATGTGGGAAGAACCCAATTCTACTCAGTTATGCCTATTGAGAATCTAAGAGTAGAGATCATTGAGAGGTGGCAAAATAATTCAGGGACAATGTCTGATGAGAGCAATAGAAACACAGAGGGAGGAAAGCATTCTGGTGTGTGTGTATGTGTGTGCAGGCATACTGTGGTGTGTGTGTGTGTGTGTGTGTGTGTGTGTGTGTGTGTGTGTGTGTGTGTGTGTGTGTGTGTGTGTGTGTATGCGCGGGCACACGCATGCGCGCGTGCCTGCAAGGCGTGCCTATGCACTCTCATGTGCTTATAGAGCCTTGCATTTGATGGCTCAATAAGATAGCCCATGGCATCATTTCTAACCTTACATTTTTCACTAGAAAAGATGCAGTTGATATGGCTGGGCTAATTGAAATGCCTAAACCAGCCTCCAGAACAAGCTGTCTGCACTCCACAGGCTTCTTAAAGAAGATTCAACAAGTGAATGTGCACTGCTGTGGCAAAATGTGAAACAAGGTATTCAAAGGTGTCAAAGGAGTTGAAATAAAGACACAAATCCCACCTTTAATTGTGTGGCCTCTTTAGAGCCTCTAAAGACGCTCAGATGTAATATACTTAAGAGTGTCTAAGAAGAAGAGGGTAATTATTTGCTGCATGAAAAGGAAAAGAAGAAAATAATGCATGTCAAGATGTTACTATCCCGGAGAAGAATCTTGACAATATAAAGCCACAACTTGAGCTTAAAGATACAGACTGATTTATCTAGAAATAAGGGAAGTTTTGTTAAGAGTTGTAACCAGATAAAGCATTTGGTCTAGTGATCATTGAAAATGTGTTTGAAACTGCTCCAAACACTATTACAGAGCATACAATCAACCACTACCAAATTAACATGAAAGATACACCAGGTCTTGATGTTTTAAATCAGCATACAAAAACTGATTGAAAAGTGACATTAAAGCATTTGAAGATAAGAAACAGTGGTTTTTCCTTCCCTTTTTACTACACATTCCTCTTATCCCTCTACAACACAGAAGGGACTAGCCCAATTATCCTTGTACGCTACCAGCAAACAAATGCCTAGAGTGATTCTTCCACCTTCTTCAAATTTCACAATGTTTTCTTCCTTCTAACAAGAAACCTAGGCTAAAGATACAAAAACAAAAGAAAATTTCTTTCTGAAATGTCTGCAGGATATTTAAAAATGTTTTTGAGATTGTAACTACATTTCTCCCTTCCCTTACCTCCATCTGAAACCTCCAGGTCTACTTCAGATTCATGGCCTCTTTATTATTATTATTATTATTATTATTATTATTATTATCATTTAACTAATTGCCATGCCATGCATATATATATATATATGCATATATATTCCTAAATATAAGCTGTTCAGTCCATCAATACACAGGTATCACTTCAGATTTATGTGAAAAATTAGATAACTGATTCTATGACTAATAGGAACTACTTTTATTTAATTAGTTAATTAATAATACAAGCCATAACACTGAACAAATTTCCCTCAGTTTTGTATTTTATTAAGGTTATTACGCGATAATCAAATTAATTTTCACAAAACTTACAAAGCTGAGCATCTGCGTGGAGTGTTCCTCCTTTAGGATTTAGCTTCTGGCTTTGAACGACAGGAACTGGTTTATAAGACTGGCCTGTGGCCCTGTACATGGCTTGTACCCATAATATTCTGTCCTGTTCGTCGTCACTGGCAAATATGACAGTATCTCCCTCTTTAACAGCATTAAAAAACACATGGCCACCTTGAAGGCCTGTGGAAGAAGAAAGACACCATCAAAATTTACTCAATTGGCAGCTTCTAGTCTTTATTTACCCAGCTTCATTCATAGGAGCTTAGTGCTTTAAATGATATTAGTTGAGGATCATGTCCCCAGTCCACAATTTAAAGGCACATAGCAAAAACATTTCCACATATAGGTCAGGGAGACACTCAGTTCTCAACAAGAGAGCCTTAGGCAGTAAAGCAAACATATCCCATAGAAAGGCAGAGTGAAATCTGGTATTTTTGCCAGAAAAGGAAATTCTTCTATTTTATTTCATTTAAATTAGAAACAATCTTATTTTAAGGAAATTCTTTGTGTTGGCATATTTATCGTTCTACGTGTCAGTGAAATATGAGTTCAGGGGAAATAAAAACACAGGTAAGGCAAAACAGATACTTCAGTTTCGATGGTAGTTTAGCCTTGGGACAAGTGGCATTTGTATTTGTCAGTGAACAATTAGAGAACATGGCCACCAATTTCTACTTCATCTCTTGTGTTAATTTTAAAATGTATCTGAGTCTTACTATCTGTTTTTTAACATTAATTTCACTGCCATCCATATATCCATTTATGACTCATTTTCAAGCACCATGTGTTCAGTCCTATAGCCACCATAGTTTGAGGACCCTACACACCTGGTATGCTTGATCTTAGAGCACTTGGAGTTTGAACTTGAGCTCATTATAAGTAATGAGTTATCTGAAGGGTGAGATGCCAGTCTTAACACCAGTTTCACATACACTTATACCTAGAACATAAAGGTAATCTTTCTATTGTATTCTTACTGTCCATGGATTTTTAACTGTAGCTTGTCAAATAAAGACAGATGTAGAATTTTCTAGCTGTGGCATCATATAAGCATTCAAAAATGTTTCAGATTTTGGATTTCAGATTTATCAATAGGTGATGTTCAAACTAATATACATGGAGGGAGAGAAATATAAGAAGGTTTTTGTGGAGAAAATGAGAATGTAATATATGTGTTGGGGTGGTGGTGCCTACCTTTAACTGGGAAGCAGAAGGATATAGATCTCTGTGAATTTGAGGCCAGCCTGATCTACATAGTGAGTTTCAGGCTAGCCAGGGCTATATAAACTCTGTCTCAAAATTTGTGCATCTATCCATTTATCATCTATCTATCTATCTTCTATCTTATCTACCTACCTACCTATCACTTATTTGCCATTTCATTGTCTATTTTTTTGTAATTTTGCTTCCCAGTGAAGTTTCTGCATGTATTGCTATATCTCATTTAATTTATCTATCAGCAAAATTCAAGTATTTTATTATAATATAGGAATAACAGAGAAGCATAGGATGGTAAAAGATATAATTTTAATCTTAAAGTTTTGTCTAGCTGCATAAGCTTCAAATAAGCCTTCTATTCATCAAGGGGCATTTTTAAATGGAGAACAAATACAGATGATTACAAAGCTGCAGACATCCATACTTGACTGGAAAAGTGGTTCACTTAGCATTACCTGGGTGGGGGTCTGTGTAATCCACAGTGTATCCTTCAAGTTGCATTAGTTCCTGTGGTTCAGACTTTTTTTCTCTATAACTGCACATAGCAAAGGTATACTGGCTAACCTGATTGGGGGAGAAAAAAAAGGGAGAGAGAAAAAAATGTTTGCAGTTAAAAAAGAAAAATAATAATCAAATTTAACTTTTAGTTTTTCTTTACCTAGACTTTTCTCCAAGCAAAAACATGTAATTCGCATGCAAATTATTCTATTTTAGCATTTCTCAAAACCTCGCTCTGAGACTATAGTGCCTTTCAAGGTTAGCTGGCAGTTAGAACTCATATGATAAAAATGGCGACCTAGTGTTTTTGCCAAGCATAATAATGTCGGAGACAAAAAACCAACCAACCAACTAACCAACCAACCAACCAACCCAACACAATACTACTTGACAATCCTTCTTTCTGTATATTCACAAACCTGTATATAACTTTCCTTTTGTTCCCTAAGCATGAACAACAAACAGAGCTCTAGTTTCTCAGTCATGTAAGAGCTATACATCATATCTGTATTAGTAAAGAAAACTCTCAACTATTATTTTGTTTTTGTTTCAAAACTTAAGCTAGTCTTGATTACAGCAAACCAATTGCTTTAATCCTTATCCACTACCATCTCTAGAGTTTATCCTTATCTTTATTTCTACCTCATTTTGGTGCCTATTAGTATGTTAGCAATTAGTAACAGGATACTTCATTGTTAAGATATATAATCTTATACATTAAATATTAATTTATATTTTATTACTACATTTCTGTAATAATAATAATAAACTTTTTGTTTATTAGTTTTCTTGCTGTTCACTGCTTCTTGAATTTCATTTCAACATTTTGAATTTAGTTTCTTCCTTTATTAGAAGCTTTTGCGTTCATACTCATGACAGTCTGTCTGCTTTCTGTACAGTGTGTACTCAGGCAATCCTGTAAGCATTTTGAAGGTAATATTCCATTGTTAAAGGGCTATGTGTTCATGTTGAAAAGTTTGGTGAAAGTTCAATTGTGCTTTCCTCGTACTCAATTTTCCTCTTTCTCTGTGGCTGTTCTTAAATGTTCTCTTCATCTTTGGGGATGTTACAGGTTAGCAGGTAAAGAGTCTTGCTGTCAAGCCTAACACGACTTGAGTTAGATCGCTGGGACCCATAGTGGCAGAGAACAGACTCCAGGAGGCTGTCCTTTCCTTCCACACAGACTCCGTGGTACCCACACACATACATAGGCAAATAAATAAACAATGTAATGAAAAGGTTGTCTTTCTCTCAGCTTACTACAGTTTCACTGTGAAATCTTTCGGAGTGACATGCATATCCTAGGTAGGAATAGGTAGGAAGCTGTGTGTCTTCTCTGGGATAATTTCGGGCAATATCATTTAGAATCTTATCTATCATTATTTCAAACGTTTTTGTTCTATTTTTCTTCCTTTTACTTTTATATTTCATTTTTCCTATCTGTCCATTTTGTGTCGTACTTAATTTCTTTAGAGTCTATTCTTTTTTTAACTCTACTGATGTATCTTGAATATATTCTTTTTTTAATTTATGATGAGTGTTTTTATTTTTTCATTTTTCTTTCTCCATTTTTTTATTTAAATTAGAAACAAGATTGTTTTATATGTCAAACGCAATTCCCTACCTATCCCATACCCTTTCTGCTCCCCAGGGAAGGTGAGGCCTTCCATGGGGGGGGGGGTCTTCAGAGTCTGTCATATCCTTTGGGATAGTGCCTAGGCCCCTCCACCCCCAGGCTGAGGGAGTATCCCTCTATGTGAAATGGACTCCCAAAATCCATTCCTATGTTATAGATAAGTACTGATCTACAACAAGAGGTCCCGTAGATTTCCCAGGCCTCCTTGCTGACACCCACATTCTGTTTGGGTGTCAGAAAAGTCTGGATCAGTTCCATGCTGGTTTCCCAGCTATCAGTCTGGGGACCAAGAGCTCCCCCTTATTCAGGTCAGCTGTTTCTGTGGGTTTCACCAGCCTGGTCTTGACCCCTTTGCTCATCACTCATCCTTCTTTGCAACTGGATTCCAGTTCAGTTCAGTGTTTAGCTGTCGGTATCCACTTCTACTTCCATCAGTTGCTGGATGAAGGCTCTATAAATAGTTGTATTTGTGATCTTTATTGTATTTTATTTTAATGTTTATCATAGATTCCTTCAAATTTACTGTTTAACCTCCCCTTATGCAAGATTCTCATCTCAGGGTCTGTATTTTTAAGCTACTTGTGTTCCACCTTTGGAAAATGCCTGATTTAAATCTCCTATTTGGTTTTCATGGTGCAATGTATCTCTTCTTATGTTGTAGGTTCTTTTTACTACATTTGTTAGCCTGTTTAGAAATTAAAATAGTTTTAACACAACTGGTCTACAGTTTATGTATGTGACAATTTTATGGCTGAAGTCCCTAAGGATAAAAACAATTAGTTTAGTTTCATAATGTTAGATCATAAGCTATTATTCAATATAACTTTCTCTGTGCATATTCTATGACACCTAAGTAAAGAACTTATATCTCCACGTTATTTAATACAGATGTTCCAGGTTATCACCAGGTCAGAAGTGTTTTGTGTAATTTTTTAATTTTACCTTTAGTTATGTGGCCGTGTGTGTGTGTGTGTGTGTGTGTGTGTGTGTGTGTGGTATGTGTACATGATTATGATTGCATGTGCCTGTGGAAGCCAGAAGACCAGGAGCCTTCCTTGGAGTTGGAGTTGTAGGTGGTTGTAAGCGACCTGAGTTGGGTGCTGGGAGCTGAAAACTTAGGCCCTCTGTAGTGCAATATGGGCTTTTAAAACTAAATTTGAGCCATCTCTTCATAGCCCCTATATTTCCTAACTTTGATATTTTACTTATATTTAATAAAACAAAGATACTGAATACAAGCTCAGAAATTTCAAGGCTACTTTTTGTACACATTTAGACATTAAGCACAAACTCAAGTTTAAAATGCTGGGGGCAGATTATTTTCTTGGTCCATCATTTCGTTGGATTTTTTTTCTAATTTACTTGGGATCTGTATTTTAAATTCCTTCTCTGGACATATCTCAATTATGACTTTTTCTGATTGGACAATAAATGTCAAGCATACCAGCTTAATCCCACACTCCAGCTGCCACTGTAGTAACAGTCCTAATTCATATAGAAGCGAAAACATTTGTTTTTGATCTTTGGTCTTTTTTCTTGTGATTCGGGTTAGCATATAAGAAGATGTATAATATATACAATCCAGCACTTCCAGGTGTTGGACAAGAAAATATTTACCTCCTGGAACTGCAGACTGAACCCAGGGTCTTCAACATGTTTGGCAAATATTCTGCCACCAGGTTTCATCCCTATCCCTCATTTTTATAGAGGACATCCTGGTAGTGAATGTAATAATCTTCCTGCCTCAGCCTCCCCAGTGATTAAATTATAGGAATGTGCTGCCATGGTCATCTCAAAAAAATAGCTGTTAGTATTACCTTACAATTAGACCACACTACAAATTTACATTCCTCAGCTAGTTCTTTAATCCCACCCCTGCCATGGACTTGCTGAATAAGAGATCTAACTTCTGTCTTTGGGACATGCACTTAAGAGACATAGTGAATATGGTGGTTCCACTATATAGAATAAAGCAAAATATGTTCAAGTTGTCTTAAGGATAAGCAAATTGTAATTAGATATTCAGGGGTTTGGCAAAGCAATGCTTTAACAATAAGTTAGTAATAGAACAAAAGATTTCTTTGAGCATATAATTAATAAGCCTCACATCTCCATTTCTTACTTGGGGGACTTTAAAACCATAATAACAGGAGATCCCTGGCACATCACTGCCGTAATAATACAAAACCTGCTGGGAGAGAGATGAAGAACACGAGAGGGTCTGACTTCTCTACGCAGCTTGCAAATACCTCCAGCAGTTACTAAGCAGAATACACAGCTATCACTGGGTGAAATACTCCAGACACAATATTCATCTTGCCCACTTCAATCATGCCCTTGCCCGAATTCCCATGTAGGAGAACATTACCTTCATCTTTAAAAATTCTTCTTTCTATTTCTCAATCTGAACCCGTTCCATTTTTTTCCCCAAGGTCTTTATCACTAGTCCCCATTTCTTTTCTAACTGCCTTGTCTTCTGTTTCCTTTTCTATGACTCAACTTCTCCAGGCTGTACATAATCTAACTTCCAAAGAGTGCAGCACAAAATCTCTGCCTATGTTTATATGAAATGTATTTTATTTAAATTCAAGAAATGTTCTCTTCTCCTTTTTTGAAAGTATAATACTTCTGAACGTATGAACTACATTTTATCTTGATTTAAAAACAAGTAGCACAAATACTTCTCCCAACCATATAACATGTATTTATATGCATTATAGTAGTGTTATATTATATTATATATATTATATATATTATATATATTATACAATATGTTATATTATAATGCATATTAAATGCATTCTCTTCTACTTGTCATATCTGACATTTAATTTTAAATTCTAAATACTGCGCTTAAAATGTTGGAGAAAGAGCTGACACACCTTCTTTGACCCAAGTAGCAAAACTTGAATGTATTCTATGGGAGCCATGGAGGTAGGAGGTATTAAGATTTTGAGAATTACATATACGAGTACTGTATTCACACATATTTCCCTTCCTGTCATCCCTCTAACTTCTTCCATGTCCCCACTATGTCCTTCTGGAATTCTTTAATTGTCTCTTATTCTTTAATTGCTATTATTGTTTCACCCCCCCCCCACACACACACAATGTCTAAATACAACCTGCTAAGTTCACTTAATATTGTATGTATGTGTTTAGGGCTGACCTTTTGTGATTGGCTAACCAATCAGGGGGGCTTGTCCCCAGAGAAGACTAATTCTTCCTCTCAGTAACCATCAACTGCTATAGCTGTTCACCTGGGGTAGAACCTTTTGAGAATTCCCCTACCAACATCAGCATGCCAATTGGTGTTGTCATTTTTTTTGGGGGGGGGTCTTGGTTAGGCAAGGTTTTCAGCTAAGCTATAGTCATTTTCATAAGCAAGCAGTCAAAACACTAGGACTATGAAGGCTCTAGAAATAAACTT